GAGGTTCTACACATCTCTGTGCTGTTTTCATGTGCAATCGACCCGAAACGGCCCGCTATTTACAGATGACAGGCAAGGATTTTAAAATGTCAAGAGTAGAGGAGTTTTACTGTCTGCATTACATGCCTGTTTTTATTTCTAAATCATATCAACCTTCACCGCACTAGGTACCTTCAAAATACAAAAGGGATACAAATATATAAAGTATACAATCATTTTGTCCATTTTTCTTTTTGAACATTTTAAAATGGCCCGGGTTGAATGAATATAAGAGAATGTGGTGGACTATGTTAACAAAAGTATAGCAATTGAACATTGCATTCAAACACGATAAGCCAACTCCGGGCAGCAACAATGCGATAGGGACATTTACACAAGTCAGTTTGATAAAGGACAATATAAATATATTTAAGCTCTCAAGATGCCTCAGTCACGTCCACGCAAATATTTTAAAAAGGCAAAAAAACCCGTGTATTAGCTATTGTTTCAGTATTAGCTGATTTACCGACAAAAGGTGTTCTATCATTTGGCTAGCAAAAAACAAACATGATTTTATGAAACATTAAAGTTTCATCTAGTCATAGCAAGATAAACAAATCTGCTAGAAAAATATGACCATGAGAGATTTAACGGTATCTATAAGAGTAAAAAAAAAAATCAATGTTGGTGTTCTAATTTAGGAAACAATTAACATTAACATCTTTCTTTTCTTTTTTTGTTGCCTTTCTGGTCTCCCTATTACCCGCCGACTGTTACGAGCTCATCTTGGCTGTGTTAATGCCAACGGAGAGAGGGAAAGTGCATGGATCACAAAAAAAGGTGGCATGGGCACTATGATATTCTAAATGTCTTAACCACGAGACCTTTGCAACCATGTGAGTGCTGGCCATCCTGCTCACCCTTGTGAACCTCACTGACAGGCTCAGAACTCCCTGCTTCATTGCCTGTAAAATAGACACAGTGGCCTATTTATAAGGAGGATTAAGTAAAGAAAAAGTCAGCAGGAGGGCTTTTTATCTCTGCCAACACTCCCAGCCCAAGGGAGAGAGCCCATTCCTAGCACAAAACAGCACATACATGTAGACCGACGTGATCAGTGGCTCGACACAGACCTTGCAAGAGTTCAACATTTGAAAAGAACAACGTTGGGAGGCGCATGCATTTTGTGGAAGACACTGGCATAAAGAAAATGCTCAAGGTAACACGATCCCAAAAATGGCTTCTGGGCACTGTGACATCATTGGAACACTGACATGACGCACACAGATGGGGAGTGTGTGGGATGATATGTTCCAAGTTATTTTGCAACTCAGGAGATAAAATGTAAAAGAAAATACTTTGTCTTCTTTCAGAACTATTCTTGGTGTCCAGGGGGACAAGTAGTTTGTTTGCATAAGTGTAGTTTGTCTTTCCAAACTAGGAGTATCAACTACCAGCCTGGCATCAATGGTACAGAGTTTTCATTACATATTGCAAGTCAGTGCCAGTCGGGAATGCTTTGAAAACATAGATTAAACTTTTTACTTATATGTTGTCATCATGTAAATGGACACATCAAAAATGTACATAACGCTACTTGAGTGCTGCTATCACGACATCTGTTATTTCACTTCAAAACGGAGAGACTCATTTTGTCAGCTTGGCCTTTGAAAGGTGTAAATAAAAGCCACCATGATGCCACCACCTTCAGCAAAAATGACTACTTGTCTATAAGTTACAATTAAAAAGCAGACGTGCACCATTGTACATCAATGGTGCCTTGAGACATGGAAATTTAACCTCAGGCGTCAGACACGATTTAACATGCCTTCTAGCGCGAGATTGTTCCATTTCTCAGCAGACAATCGATGCATTAAATGCAAAACAATATTAGATCGACTTACAGTGTAAAACGGGAGTACAGTATATGTGTGTAATATCAGCCCCCTCGCCGACAAGGCATCCAGCAACACTGATCCGTCCGTCTACCCAGGTGGTCGAGACCCTGGAGCCTGACTAAGAGCCATACCACAATGATCTACTTCTTATGTGCCAATTCTATCGAATAAAAGGTGGGAACAACCCATCCTCTAACCCAGAAGAAGCGGGAAAACAAGAAAAGGACAGCAAAACGCCTGCAATAAGGACTTTGATGCACAGATGACAGGTTTGTTTTCATCAAGCACTTCAGAGTGGTGTATTGATCCAAAGTGCTTTGCAACTTGAGGCTTACAGTAGACTTGGACATTCCCCTCTAATGGCCAATGTGCTTACACTGGAGAAGGAATGCTGTCAGCATCATGAAGAGATGGGAAAAAAACAGTATTGTGATTACAGAAAAAGCCGATGGTCTCCAATTGTTGTTCTGCAAGTAGAGATTTATTTTTTTTCAAACGTTGGTTGCATCAATTGGTGTTTTTTGGGGAATGTAATTTAAAAAAACAGGCTGGGGCGATGAAATTCACCCTGAGTATTCATCATGCATTTCTGTTCTGCCCCAACAGCATCTTTCAGGCATTTCCATGGCAACCACAGAAAGACAGTGACCCACCTTCCTGGGAGATGATGGCAAAGGTCAATTAAGGATAATTTATTTTTTCTGGGGGGGAATGATGATGTTCTTATCTTCAAGTGGCCATTCTCACAGTATGCACACTCTTGAAAGGCTTCCACCACCAACCCCATTATCCATTTACATATTCTTTGGGTTGTTGTATTTTCGGGATGATAAAAAAAAATGTGCTGGCCAAAAAAGCAAGAACTGCAAGCAAAAAATGACCGTTGACACCAGTTTTCTCCAATTTCGAAAAAAATATTAAAAAGATAATTATTTGAGAAAACTTGAATGCCCTCACTCCATCAAACACACTGATACTTCTTTTACTCTATTTCCGAAGTAGCTCTGTTGTGTCGACATTTGGTGACCTGAATATGAATACATCTCACAAATCTCATCACAAGAAATTGAAGGCAATATCCTGGGCAGGTTGGTAAAGTGCCGAACAGCAAAGTATTAACCAACCAAAAGCTACACTCCCAAGGGTTAGAGGCTATGGTGTCAGTGGGGGCCAACAGTGAGATGGTTTGATGCCATGGGAATGTTTAGGATGCATTTGACAAAGCTGCAACACTAAATTGACTTAAGCCCCCAAGCCAAAGCAGCAAGCGGGGGGGGGGGGGGGAGGGGGGGGGGCAATCTTCAAGTCTTGTTAAAACAGCAGCACTCAAGTGACGGTCAAAACAAAATCAAGATTGGCACAAACATGCCTACGTACCTCAAAATGCAATCCCTCAAATTTAGGAGATACTATACACCTAATTCAGCCAAATGACATTTACTGAGGCGTTATTTAGATGCTATCGGTGGCCCATGTCTTTGTGCTAAGGGGATTAGCACCAGTGCGCCCAGTGCTGAAAGGCGCTTTTGTGCCTTCAATCTTTAGCGAGCTGCTAGTGAGGTTCAGATGCCTGTGTGGAGGGTGTCAGTTATCAGGGATCCTGCCATGCCTTGCTAATCTCTGGCTCCGCAGAGCTCTTGAAACTTGGCCGGTCCGCTCTATGGCCGCCTCAACCAAGAGTTTGCTCAGAGGAGAGGGACAATGATAGGTATTCACTGTGAGAGCTAGTGGACCGGCATGCCTCTCTACTTGAGGGAGCGGCATATGCTTGTACGGGCAAGGCCAAGGTTGGAGGGCGCAACCACAACTACTGTAGCCACTCTATAAATTTCCAAAATGAGTATTTTTATAACATGCAGCTCAACGACTCAAGTGTGTGAAAACTACGTTAAAGTTTAATTTAGTAGTTGTTGCTTTGATGTTAAAAGGTTTACCCGTTTTGCATCCATTAGTGGTCCCATCCAAAGTGAGAGTCAAGATACATCAGCACTTTAGGGCCCTATTTTGTTACTGCTCGAAAAACAAGCATGATGACAAATAATTAAAACGGAATTATGAAGCTTATCTATCCATACTATGACCGTTTCTAAATGACACTTCAGATTCAGAAAGACGAAATGAAAGAAAAACGTATTTACAATTTGTCATTTACAGTAAAACTGCTACTGACCTAAATAGAAAAAAAAAAGAAAATTCAAAAAAACCCTTTCATAAAACTTTTTAAACACAGTAATAGGATATTCAATGATATGCCAACATAGTTGTTTCAAAATTCATGCGGAATTTCTGCAGGGTACGCCAGTTAATGTAAAAGTAGGTCACAGAAACACAGTAGAATGTATTCACCAAATATGAGCACTGTTTCAGTCTCCCATCCCTTCAGCAGTCTGCTGCTTTAATTAAACGTAGATGAGTGGGAGAAAGGAAAGATAAGCAACAATGCTAATTAACATCTTGTGATTTTTGTTGATGCATAAGATTGGGGAGTAATGGCTTGGTGCGGCTAAATGAAAAGAGAATTTTTGTAAATGTTCAATTCATTTGTGTCTGCCAGTGTGGGAGAAGACCGCCTTTCCACTCCACTGGAGAGTAGACATGATGAGGGGCAATCGTAAATGCTTGGCTTCAGAACTTCATAGAGCACAGTCTCCTCTCCTCCTCAAGTGTCCTGTTGTTCTGCTGACCAGGTTCAGTGGCTGGGACGACCCTTTGCCAGAGATGTGGACACACACAATCGCCCCCTTTCAGTGTAACAAAGAGCTCAGAGATTCTAGTCTGGTATTTGTGACAATAAAGCTTGTCTTTTTTTCCCCCATGTTTGAGCTTGAGGCCCAACTTAACCTGATCACGTTAAAAGGCACGCGTGACATTAAAATTAAGACAACGTATTTGAGGAATGCTGAGAAGACAGCACAAATGCCAAACAATGGAGGACTCTCCTGTTTTGGAACCTGCTTGACGGAAGCACAGTAATGACAAAGATTATTGGCTTGGACGGCAATGAAGAACTGAAAGTCTCATTAAGTGAGCAAACTCTGCGGACGCGGCACGATCAAGAAATCCACGGCGCCCCAATAACAAAATGCAGTAGCCGTTGCGCACACACATTTTGGCACTGCAGTGTAATGCCACTTGGTCCCATCCCCGTGCTTTGTACAATGTGTCTCCTGAAAGATGAAAGGAGGCGAGTTAATTGCCTTATCTACAATAGAAACCACCCTGCAAGGACTTCCCATTTCCCCCAGCAATTAGGAATCACTTCCCCCCAGGTACTTGTGAACAAGGCGTGGGGTCACACTCATGTGGCATCAATCCCCAGCAGACTCTTCCTGTCATCAGCTAACCTATTGAGCATGTAGCATATGATGATGTCTCCGATGACTTGATACGACACGCGTGTAGCAGGTAATGAAACCAGTGAATATCACAGGAAACATTTACATTACTCGGGTTGGTTGTCAACCCAGAGCATCCCGTCTTTGCCCTTCTCTTTGACCGAGAACAACAAACTACGATAAAAAAAATGTATTACATGGTGTGAAGCCCGGTTAACCAACGATGCCAGTGAGCAGCCCGTGTTTTTATGATTACAGCACAATAATTGGAACTAACGACTTCCTGCTTTACACCCCCATCTCATGTGGGTTGTGCACACTGAATGAACAATGTTTTGCTTTTCCCAGGATTTAGGCTAAGGGGGTGGGGGGCGGGGGGTTGGTCGGGGAAGGACGGGGTGGGGGGGCTGATGCTTGATGAACAAGATGGGCTGTCTGGCTGGCTTGGACTCTTAGGTGACTCGTGAGGATGTTTGAAATGTGCATGAACTGTGAAGGAAGTGAGTCACAAAAATGTCTATCACAGGTTCATTTGTATGTACGCCACAGCCTCCTTTTGTACTGGAGTGAGATGTGCTGAGGCGCATTTCCCTCATCCTCCATCAGTGAGCTACAATACTACCCCCTTTCAAGCATCTAGAATGAGCTCTCTGCCGTTGTTCTACACAGAGCCTTGTCTACATGACTGGTTAACAGCTCACTCAGAGTGGGCTGGGCAGCACAGATGACAAACCCAACATACCTCTATGGAGCAAAAGAGGGAGCATGCACCGAACTAGTAAATTTGTGAAATTACTGAGCACCCCTGCAGACAGCATTACAAGGGGACATCTAAGATTGAATTTGCCTCCAGTCATATACTGTACATACCTCGGCATTAAGCACAATGTCACACAAGACTTATGCATTGCTCGGGACTCGGCAAATCTTGTAGAACTTTGTACTTACATCTACAGTGAATGTAAATGTAAATAAAAAAATTTAATTTAAAAATGATATTTCACCTAACCCGACTGGTCTATTGCCATACCTGTGATTAAGTCCTTTGATAGTTTTTAACCTGGATTTAAAAGTATTTACACTTTATTAGTATGTTTTGAATCTTTATTCATTCACTCTGATAATACAGGATACCAGCAAATCCGGGGACCGTATTATATACAAGTAGAGAGGGGGAAACATGCTTTTTAAGGGTGATTTGGGGTTGGGGAGTTGTTGTTATACACGGGTGGGTGTGATTCACGGCATTTTTAAGTACATTTATCCATTAAAGAAAAAAAACTGTCAGGAAGCATCTCTATCTCATGAGCATTGTGTGAAACAACCGAGAGCTGTGTTAAAATATTGATTCGTGAGTCAGTTATTAGCCCAGGTATTTAGTGATCTCACTGCCACAATTCGATGAGGTCCTGTAAGTTTGTCCTGCTTTTCAATGGACTAGGACGAGTCAAGGTCCACTACATAGTTTGAGGACATCTTGCCTTCGTATTGGTCACAATGACTGATCAAAGTCTTGTGAATCTCAGACTTTCTTTCTTGTGACCCCACAGTCGATTCTAACAAGCACTTTGTATCACGGCCGTATGTTTAGCAACATCTCTGCGCCGTTTCCAGCTTGCCCTGGTATCTCAGTGGCTGCAGTTACAAACTACAACCTGTTTAGAGTTTAGCTGTGATGCTGGGAGGAAACATCTAGTATGCTGCTATCAAAGAGTTTAAAAAAAAAACATTTAAATCGTTCCCTCAAGTTCAACGTTTAAAAAATTTGATATATTTTAAATTCCCTTCTTATTGGTCATCAGATTGTAAAAAAAAAAAAAAAAAAAAGGCAGCTGCAGATAGCCTGCATGCTGATGAATATCTGCGCCCATTATTGGTCCGGCCGAAAATTAATCTCTCTCTTGAGAACATTTCCCCGCTTTCTACAATGGAAAATATCCCAACAGTTTTGTCCAAAAGGGTATGTTATTGATGTAAGGGTACAACAGCACATGGCGACACAAAACAGTCTCAACACCAGTTGTTCCAATCCATTAAGTGCCACACAAGTACATCCATCACCCAATACACATGATAAGCCTGCAGGCTTTCCTGCAAGGAAATTAGAACTGGATCACTCCGTTTCACTTCCCTGTATGCTTATGGGAGTATTTTATTTTATTAAGGAGGTGTTTTGATACAGAGAACAGCTGTCGCCACAGCCTGAGCTATAGCAATGGGCCATTGGGGTGTATTAACGCGAGAACTGTGACCCATAAAAAGTGATGTGCGATAGATACAAGTTTGACTTTTTATACCTCTCTTCAGATTTATTTTCTGGTTGATAAAGCCAACGAACACACAGATATGAGTTACATTTCCCAGATTCCATTACCGGCGCTTCCGGACTATTAAAAGGCAACTTTTTTTTTCCCACGCTTTGAACCTTGAGGCTTTAAATATGATGTGGTGTGTTTATTTGTTTTTTTACTGATGAGCTTAGCCATGTTTGGCATTGTTTAGAAAAATGTTTCCTGTTGTTCAAAATATTTAAAAGCTTTACAAAAATCTATCTGCGTGACGTCTTCTTGTTAAAACGTGGAGACCCGCGGCTAGTAAGGCAAAGTCGCCAAATTAGGTAGATATTTGTTTTCAGGAATAAATTTAGCTGTTGGGGATTTTAATCAGGTGTGCTTTGTAGTCAGTTAATTACGGCAGTTGTAATATTTTTAAAAGTGAAAAATGTACATTTGTTTGTGAGTGTTTTGAGTGATTTATTCTTTGAAACATTAATATTAATATAATTTTTTTTTCTTTTCTTTTCTCTTCTTTCTACCCTCAATCTTGCTGCTGAAGGCTGTAAATTTCCCCAGTGTGGGACAAATAAAGGATATCTTATCTTATCTTATCTTATTAGAAATATACATAGTCAAACACTGCCGCGTGCAGTCCCGCTCAAATTTTCTTGACAGAATTTTACAATGAGGAACATTAAATAAATTGTTCATGAAGTGATTTTCTACAGGTGGGCAGCTCTGTGAATGTGACGCCCTCCAAAACTTTGGTGCAACCAGCTGTAATGCAAGTGCCGCCCCAGTGCAACCAGTACAAAAAGTTAGTCGGGAAACCTGGGGGGCATTTCCCAAAGGTGAAAGACGACAACCTACAGGAGATAAAAAGCTTCTAATTTTCCTCTGTTGACAGTATGTGGTTGTATGTGTTGTGTTAATATTTGTTGAAGCGCATCATTTTTAAAAAAAAAATTGTAATAACAGCGCCCAAGTCATTTCAATTGGCATATTTTTTTTATCCGATATATTTGATTGTTTTACATTTCCATTGCTCTTAAAAATAATGCACTTTAATTAGTTTTGCTGAAATATCATCACTATATCAGTGGCATCAGAAAAACGTGATAGTTAAGTACCGGAAATAGTTCCCTATTAAAAAATATATATCATCCTGAAAAATGTGGCTTATACTCTCGTTTGAATAAAATAGTCTTGCCCATCAAAGGATAGCAAGAACGACTCGAGCCTTTTTACGTCTCCACACCAGCCCGAGGCACCCCAATGTAACATAAATCCGTCTCTCCAATCTCCACCCCCTCTCTTTCTTCCTCGAGCTGCCTGGACTGCTGAAAGTCAGACACTCTGAGAAGCTGGCGGTGTAGAGGAGTCTGCTCACATTTCAAGACAAAGCCCAAATCGCTTTCAGAAAGGAGACACTTTCGAAAGCGCTATTTATCACCCAGACCTGTTTTTCTGCTTTCTGCCTATTTCACACCTCTGTAGACAAACGCGACAGAATTATGTTGTCCTTTGACTTGGAGATTCTGAGCTTTAGGTTAAATTTAAACAACCTATCAAAACAAATGTTTTCTTTTGATAAACATTCACCTATAGAGGATGATTCAGTTCGATTCAGTTCAACTCGTGGGATTACAATTTCAATAGAAATGGTTCAGCTCAGTTTGAGAGGGTATGATGCAATGACTTTTTTTGTTGGCGTTTTACTTCCATTTGACTGAACTTTTCAGTACTGTGAATATGCCATTTCATTCTAAGATACATCTCACCAATAAAAGACGATTACTTTTTCACGGTTCAAACCATCCTTTTTTAAAATCCCTACAAGATACTGTTAAAAATAGTGTTAAAAATAGGGACATATCGATACCACTTTTTCTGGAAACCTAGTACGAATACAAATTGAGTTCTTGCAATATCGGGAACTGATATGTGATAAATAAGTGTGTAACGATTCGATATAACAATTAGCACAATTCATTGTTGCCGATTCAATTCAAAGAAGATATTGCTGTTTCATTTAGAATTATAGCATCCAAGGCTTGAAATCAATTCAGTAACATGTTTTACCTTGCGCTGCTGCTGTAGCAGCAACGCTACAAGATGTACCTGGCCTACCAGCAGCATTGTGTAAAATCCCAAGGCGTCTTATAGAAAAGTGCAAAGAGCGGTGTCCTGCTTTTTTGTCAGTAACAGATGTTGAATAAGAGCAGTGTCCGTCAGCAAGAAAAGTGACAATTTGTCAGATTTAAAACCTTCTTAAAAACACAGCCATCTTGTGGCTGGTTGAGATGGAGTTTCCTGTGTGAAATTACACGATGGGGATAATCAGATAATGACCCTTTAAGCAGCAGATTTGCCTGGTTTAAGGGTAAGAGGTCATGTCAGAGAGAGGCCCCAGTGTTTCAGGACCCGAGGTTAAAACACAAGCCGTGGCCTTTGATCACAAAGTTTTAACTTTGTCCAATATGTTTGACATGCAGCCAAGAAACAAGTCTGACACTTATAGCTGTGGGTCAAGTTACGCCGATCTGAACATACACAAAAAAAAAAAACTAGCCATCGATCCCAACAACTTATTTTCATTCTGTGTTTTGAGGCACACCCCGCATCCCTCGCTGTTCTATGAGGCCATAGTAGGTCGATCTCGTAACACATAAAGCCCATGTCCCACTAAGCCGTGAAAGTTTGCGAAGGTAGCGAAAGTTGATTTTACTTCGGGGTTCGTTCAAGGTCGCAAATGTTCACAAAGACATTTGTACAATCAACATTTTCTACGTGAGCACTTAGACGTTTATGCAAAAAAATGATAAGTATAATTATTTTAATCAAAATTGAAATCACAATTTTAGAAATGATTATTCAATGATTTCAAAACTTGGTGTTATTCAACAACTAAAACTCAACTAGTCCAAATCATCATAGATTCATGATGATTCGTTCCTGCACATTGAACACTTTATTTTTTAACACATTGTTCTTACCTTGCAAATACCAGGTGAAATTCAAGCCTTTGGCATTTTCATTCTGCCTCATCCACACCTTTGACGCTTTGCAACTGTGCACACATTGAAGCCTTGAATAAGCATCATCCTTATCTCTTTGTCATATGTATTTTTATGTTATGTTATTTTCACAAGTTTTGGGATATACTGGGCAAACCTGGGACCTTGGGAGATTGTATTTTGTGCCATGTAATGTGGAAATGTGTGTTGGTACGATGAAAAAAAGGCCATGGATCTCTGCATCCTTGATTTATGGGTGTAGGAAAATTCCATGAATCCTTCAAAACTCATCTTTAAATCGAACTCGAAAGACTAACAAGAAAAGAAATTCAAGTAAAATAAAAATCTCTTCAAACAATAAATATTTTTAAAAAAAACAACAAAAGTAAAAACAAATACTGTTCCTACACATTTTGACCTCTTAGGGGCAGTATGGTGCCATGCATGCATGGATTACACAGAATGAGAACACAAAGAAATTGTGATTACCCATGTATTAGTGTTTCCACAGGGTTTGTGTGTAAATATGCGTTATTAGAAGGAATATCTCTCCCAAAGCCATTGCGGAACATAAAATGTTATTGAACATTTGATAGCCCAACCACTAGACTCAAGGTTTGATTAGGTATTATAAGTAACTAGATGGTGACTTGATTGTAATTAAGTAAAACAGCAAAGTCATCTCATCCCCATTATTCTTGATTTACGTCAGCGTTGATAGAGCGATAGAAAGCCCACATTACACTTGAGATTTGTAGCTATTATCGTTTACAGCAACATGGGAATTTTATCTTTTGAGTTTGAAATTCCCGACTGCATACACCTCGCGTCTCGCAGAACGTGAGATATGTCAATGTTTCAGGTAGCAATCACTTAATGCAAGCTAATTGTTTGAGACAGAACCATCCATTTACATATTTTGTGTTTCAACAGTGTGTAGATATGTTTGTCATACCATGATGTTCAACACTGAGTGATTTCATGAGTAAAATATTAGGAAAGGTGAAAATCAAAATCAAGCAGGTAAAACTGAAATCAGTAAAAGTCAGTCATTAAATAGCTGGAAATGTTTTTTTTTTTAAAACACCATCATAAAATGCTGAAAACGGTCCTTTGTGTGTGGAATGAAAAGCGAGCAGTCTGGCACAGCAATTTAACCTGATCTAAAGCAAAGACACATTTTCATGAAATAAGAAGCATATGGCTCGACATTCAATTACACCTATTTTCTCTCCGGCTTACTCCTAACAAGAACCACTTGTTCCCCGCTCCTGGGCTTGGTGAGGAATCGTCCCGCTACACAGCTTGGTTTAATCCTCAGAAGCTAGCCACCTAAAAGCAGCCCTTCGTTCACAAACAGACCTTGAAGGGACATCAGACATACCGCACAAACAGGATCGCACAAAGTTTGCCTTTTCAGCCATACAACCACAAAAATAAATAAATAAATAAATATGCGGAACACTGACTCACTGCAAGTCAAGCATAGCGGGCTTATGGAAAATGTAAAAATAATAAAGCTCGACTACAATTTTACAACTGATTAAAATATGGCATGAATTAAAACTCAATTACATGATGATTCATTGCAGGAAGATGCCTAATGGGGGGGAATGTTTATGTGAAACTTTAAATCAAGCAACATTTAAAAAAAAAATCAGGGATACATGTTTAATTTGAGTTCCAACCAAATCCTTTTGGTGAATCGTTTCATGGGAAACAGAAAAATCCAGACATCATGCTTTCCATTCTCACACAATTATTTTTTTAATTGTGTTTTTGTCAAAAGTGGGTCAAAATAAAAGTCAACAAATGGGATCCAATGCTACATCAAAAACTGATTTTCAAAGAGAACGCACAACAGAATGACTAATAACTGAACTCGGGCCCAAGTTAATGAGAGACAGCACCACGGAGGAGAGCAAGTAGAGGACAAAAAGTTCCTGGGATATGTTGTTGGCAGAGCGCAGGGTCCAAATGCTTGTATTTAAGGAGATAAACAGATGAATTTCCACACGGTCGTATGGTAAATAATTTAGCTTCAGGTCAATTCTTTGCTGACAGAGTTGTTTCGAAAAGAATACAAATGGAATCAAATCCTCTCCTGGGAGGAAAAAAAAAAAGATGCTGCTGAATGTATATCTTTGGTATGACCATGATCGGTCACAACTGACTGAAATTTTAAATATTGACATAGTTGTCCTTGGAAGACCACGCTTCCAGCTGTAGACTGGTCTTCGGTGAAGTTGATGCTTATCCATCTGCACTGAAATGCGAGGATTTTTTTTTTTTTTTTTTAACCTCAACTTCTCTTTGACCTTCTAACCTCGCTTTGCTCCTTCAGGGTCTTGATGTCCTCCAGCTGCCCAAACCTCTGTAACTCATGTCTGAGATGAGAGGGCACAATGAAACACAGTGTACTTTATTGTAACATTGCCAAAGTCTGCGTGTAGCCAAACCGCAGTTTATTATTATTTTTTCCCTAGGATGACACTCGTGCATGGTAGTAGCTGGCCACATTGTATCCCATAGGAGATCCTCAGGTTGTTCATGATACTATATATTGACAACAGAATTATTCTGTGCCCTTAGCTCATGATGTTATGCCTGCATAATTTGTCTTTACAAGGAGTGGAGTTTTTTTTTTTTTTTTTAAATAGTTTGTCATCTGTAACCTTTCTACTTGGTCACTATCTTCTGAATGACATTGATTCGATGACAACAAAATGGCCTAATGCTTATTGGCCCACACCGAGATTGACGACTTCCCCAAATTTGACGATGAACGAAATACAACTGAACTGCAAACGAAAATCTTTGTGGTGGTGGACGGGTGGATGATATAAATCCATTGTATCCACCACGGTTGTCTGATTGGTGTCTGTCACACCTTGCAAAAAAAAAAAGCGATTGGAGTAGTACTTGGTTTTTATAAAGCGGTACACAAAATAAGGTACATTGCACAAATAAAACCAAACACATTAGATTGTCCCAATGGATGTTCGGATGAACACATAGCACATCTGTAAAAAGAAAAAAAATGTTTACTGGCGGGTTTGTGGGGCCCCACAGCTGTGGGAGGCTCCGGTCTGGTGTCTGGCAGCATATTCTGTGAATGTCTCACCACCATTTCCGTGCACAAGGGAGCCCACTCATGTTTAATGCCTTTTGAACAAGTTCGGCGTTATGGAAAGAGTAAACTGTGCCAGAAAAAAAGATCAAACAAAAGGAGGAAAAGCTGCAGGACATCCACTCTTTTACTTGGAAGAAATGAGAAACATTGATTTAGGCCTACAAATAGTACTGCTCGCCTAAATCGTTAATAGCCTCATAAAATACAGATGTCTTGTCAAGTGGTGCCCTGGCGGGCTTTTCTAGGAATCACATAAAAGTAACTTCACTCTGGAGCGAAAATGGATTTTCACCATTTGATCCAACTTAGGATATAAGAGTGTAATGAATCAAGACAATGTAGTGACAGTCACTTTAAGATGGCGTGGCAACATACAAAAGCTACTAAACACTATCAGACTCCAGCAGTGACTGGAGAGACTTGGGGTCTTAAGTGGTCGAGTTGTCGCAACTGTCTCAAGTCTTGCGACCCCAACAGAGAACATGCTGTTCGTTCTCATTGGGATTTTGTGGTTTGCACATAAACATAAAAGACACCAGGCCAGCATGAAGAAGAAAAATTCTCCTTTTTGTCATGTGCGTGCAATTTGACCCATGATAGCCAACACACATCGTAAGTGGCACTCACTGGAACAGAGGGCCTGGGGAGCAGGTTGGGGTGTCGAAGTCTTACTAAAGGACACAACCAGGTGTCCGAGAGGGATGGTTTTGAACCAGAGCCTCCACAGTGGCAGGTGAGAATCTTAACCACTTAGCCACAGCTGCCCAGTTTAACATAAGCATAAAAAAAGGGTCGCTAATATGCCGCCTCCTAACCACTAGAGGTGCAACAACCGATCGATTAATAAGATAAGCTAAAATAAGAAAACCTTTATTTGTCTCGCAATGGAGAAATTCCCAATTCACAGCAGCAAAGTTATGAAAGGAAGAAGAAGTAGAAGAACAAAATATAGGAGCTGCTGGAAAGGCAGCCACTCTCGCTGCGCCATCTTGAAGTCAAAATAACTAATTGACAACTAATCGATCCAATAATTGAACTATTTCAATAATCAATTCATCTTTTAGAGACCTTGTTTAACTGAAAATGAACCAGTAATTTCCAAATCCTTTGAATTTCAGTCCCTCAACAGTCAATATTCTCTGGATTTCATACTTTGACAAGAAAAAAAAAAACAAAAAAACTAACAAGAGAGATTGCTGTGCCAGCCTGGCTATTTTATAGTACTTGAATCAGGTTTTCCTTTCATAGTTCTCCACTTCCGATGTAAATGTTCAGAAGAGTGCCAGGGGGGAAGGGGAAAAAAAGGAGCGAAAGGAAACGTGGGCAAGCTCGATGTGCACCCGGAGCTCATATGTCACTTGACCTCCATTTAAGATGGAGCCCCTGCAGTTGCTGGGTAGGCAGGGGTGTACCTTTCAAGGCAACCTTTTCTTTGCTTCATGAGAAATGACAAGCTAGGAGGAACATGCACAAAGGCAGAGTAAGACGTCTGCCTGGGACTCATTTATAATAACTAAAAAAGGGCAACTAGCAAATAATTATGGTGCAAACCCGTAAGTTGTACAACTTAATGCCATACATGAGATTTTGACTCTAACTAAAAAGAAAAAGAAGCTGCGCTTGTGATTTCTGAGCAAATGTAAGAAAATTTGAATGAAAAAAAAATCACATTAAAGCAAGTTATGCTCATAGTTGCAACCATTATTCTTAATTACATCCAAGGCTCTTCAAGTGATTAAATTTCACACGCTGAACATTTATGTTCCTACACACAGCGAACACACTGACCACCATACCGCCAACTGCTCTGCTGTGGCCACACACCAGAGCCAACAAATCCAAGAGACAGACATACACGCACACACACCCACCCAACCCACACACGCACACACGCACACATGCACACACGCGCAAACACACACACACACACACACACACACACACACACACACACACCCACACACACACACACGCACGCACGCACGCATAAGTACATACAGTATTCCCTTCCGTGCATAGTGTGAGTTTGTGTATTGACAATTTTGCAAATTCCTGAGGCAGTGACAACTCTGTGTGTCCTGCAGTTTTGAGCTCCCATCTGCATTACAGGAAGCCAACAGCAAAACACACAGCCGCCATCTCCTGCGCCTGCTGTCACTCAGATCCTCTGGGGAGACCACAGCTTGTGCCTTACATTTTGACCACACGCATGCACGCACGCACCCAAATAGACCAGAGACCTCCAGCCACATGGTTCAAAATGAGGAAGACAAGGCTATGGCCTTTTGACTAGACTTGGAGCTGAATGAAGGTACACAGGGATGGTATAAAAAAAAAAAAAAAGGCGTGTGGAACAAAGAGGACCTTGCGGAGCTCTCCAATCACTGTGACGTAAAACGTGGGGAAACCACCATAACAAAATCTACACTTCCTGTGATTCTAAACCAGGAGGGGCAATCAGGGAGCATTCATGTCAGACACAACACTTTAGCATCTTTCATCACCTCGACTGATAAGGACGGAAATGTTGTCCGGAGCTTCAGCACCTGCACAGACCACTCCATTGTACTGGAGGGGAACCTATTGCGTTTGTCCATTGTCGGAATTTAACCCACTGCTAGTGATGAAAAATAAGGATTTCATGCAGGGCTGGCAAACTCATTTTTGTCGCGGGCGACTTTCGGTCTTCCTTCGCAGGGCTGTTATGACACCGAAAACAAATGTTTCATAGTCTCATCAATTTATTACTTGTATCCAAAAAAACTATAGTATAGTTTTGAAATAAGTCAACTTTAATAGTTTGTTCAATTATTGTTCAAGAGAGTGTAAACAGGGTAACAAAATAATTGCTTTTATGTAATTATTTATTACACGTGACAATTTGACATTTTGATAGATTTTAGCAAGACCATGCACCTTGACACAGATGATTTGCTTTCGCGTGCCACGTAAAATTACGCGACGGGCCGGATCTGGCCCCCAGGCCTTTAGTTTGACACCTATGATTTAATGCACCACCCAAAAAGGGGCTTATGATGATGAATAAAATCTAGTTTTTAAAAAAAATTCAGTGCCATCTGATGCAAGATAGGTGGGCCAGACAACCTAAGATCTGCAATATGCACCTGCTAAACATAGTGTAACAATGTTTTTCTTTCGGAAAATGTTGCAATTAATTGATCACGAAAAAATGATAATGTTCATCGCAAATAGCAAAAATTCGCAAGTAATTGATCCAGCCTAAAAAGGTTAATATGTGGAATACACTTGGCAAGGTAGAAAGTCACTCTTTTAAAAATAGTATTCGGGACCACGCAGCAATATCTTCTACCATGGAAGTACTCATTTTTATGCAAAAGCAGACGTATCGCTTAAGTAGTTAGTAACACAAAAAAACAAAACAGAGCCATTCGGAATATCCGTGATAAACAACAAACGTACAGGATAACACTTTTACGAAAACAATATCCATAATACATACATGTACATACGTATGTACATTTCCATCATTTTTGGCTACAGTGGTGAGGAAGGATGGAGAGAAGAATGCAAGACAAACAGGAAGCACCTTTGTGAGTAAGATGGGGGAGTCATCGCGGACTTTTTGTGTGAGAGTGTGTATGTAAGTGTGTGTGCGCGAAACATCCCCAAATAAAGCAACATGAATTGATTTTCCTGGTTCTGATGTATTCACTTGGAAGCATATACATCGAGCGCTCATTTGGAAACGAAAAACAATGAGTTGGGTTGGGAAGTGCCCCAAAAAACACCACCCATCTGCTTTTGATGTGCCAGAACTTGACGCGTACTTCGAGGGAGGCGTAAATTCAGAATAGCTGTAAGCAGGCCAGCGTTTAAAGGGATCTACTCGATGGCATGGTTTGTGAAGCTACAGCGAACAAATTGAATGGAAGCTGCGGAAGGTGAAACAGAGTGCAAGTCGCTCCATAGTGAGAGCACAGGATCAAGCCAGGGAGCTTGTTTCACATAATTAAAACCACAGAAAAAGAAATAACGGGACGGATAATGAGCTTCATTCACCGCTGTCGTAATTGCTTTCGACAAATAGAGTACAATGCCAGACATAATGCGCAAATGCTACACGTATGCATAATTGCCAGAAACACAACGCAAACTTAAGGTCATTTTACAAGATAAGACATTCAATAGATCTTCTTTTGACCACGCCCACTATTAAGCCGGATGTCACAGCTATAGCAGTTCCACTAATGAGTATAATATAGTAAACAAAATAAAACCACGGTCATGTACAGTATTAACTTCGTATTCATTTAAGAGTCTGATTCGTGCTCGGAAAATAAAAAGGTACAACCACCTTTAAGATAAAGGTATTTTGTGCTGAGGAAAGGGGGTGGATGGATAAATCAAACCATAAGAATTAAGCGGTTTATCAGAATGTTGCAAGCTGTAAATAGTAAAAGCGAGAAAGTTTCCCACAAGGCCCCCCGCGCAAACAATAATTCAGACCAACTGCAGTGTTTTGTTCAAAGACTTAAACCGTCCAGCCAGCAAAGGCTGAAGTTCAAAACCAAAGCAGACCTTTGTTTTTCTCTCCCCAACAGCTTTCCAGTCATTTGAGAGGAGGCATGCAACATAAAATCACATAAAGGCGCAGAAGAAATGTGAGCGAGTTGATTTTCGCAAAAAAAAAAAAAAAAAAAACTGTTCCGTGCCTTACGCTCGCAGGGCAACGGACTGAGACAGCCGTCGCTTTTCAGGGAGAGTCGAACAAAGACGTGACCTAAAAAGATATAAAAGCACTGTGAAACTTGGTTGACATTCAAAATGAGTGAGCATGAAATCATTTATTCACATGCTGACTAAAACCAAGAGCCACACATACTGCTGGCGCCCAAACCAAGGTGTACAGGCACCTCATGACATTTTCATGTCATTACTCAGGTTTCTTTCTGGTCATTGTCCTTTCGAAGGGCACCAAAATAAATGATCTGTATCATATTAGGACTAGAAGTGACAATCAACGGAAAAAACTGAGCTGATTTGGCGACATACATGGGAAGGGCCGGGGGGGCTTTTTACAAGGAACCTTTTTAAAACAATTTTATACCAAGATGAAATTATTTTGTTTGTCTCTTTGTCAGCTAAGCACAGAGTATGACGTCAAACTATAAACAGAGCAGATGCAGCTATTGCCACAAAGGGCACACACACCTTAACATAACCTTGAGATCACCCTCTTGTTCAAGTGGTGAGCCGAATTGAACTGCACCAATTTGGGCAAACACACAGCTTCATGTCATGAGAAGCATGTGTTCAAACAAGACTGTATCTAACTTTAAAACAAAATAATAATTAAAAAAAAAAGTACTTGCATTGCAATTGCACAAGGCAAGGCAGCTTTATTTATACGGCACGTTTCAAAAACAAGGTAAATCAAAGTGCTTCCCATAATTAAAAGTACATTTAAAATCACTTACAAAAGAGTTAAAGACATTTAAATAACCACACCAAGAAATAAAAAGTTAAAAAAAAAAAAATAATAATAATACCAAAAGAACACGTGCGAGAACTTTTAATGCTTTCAAAGACCTCAATCATAGGTAAGAAAAGCAATAAAAGCGATGCTGGATTTAAAAGCATTTACACTTGGGGCTGACTTCACTTCTGTTGGCAGCTTATTCTGTTGGCTTGCAGCATAACAGCTAAATGTTACTTCATAAAGTTTGCTTGGAAATCTGGGCTCCACTAATTGACCCGAACCTGCAGACCTAAGAGCCCTACTGGGTTTACATTCAATTAGCATTTCTTGAATGTATGAGGCTCTGTTCACCCCACCAAGCACAACCCACTGTGCCGTAAGCCAAGACTAGTACATCTTTGTGTTCCCATGATGACCGGAGACGGAGCAAGGTATGAACACTTGTTCTTGAGCATCAGAAACTTCGGGGAAAAAATAAAAGTGTAAAGCACAACTTATTTATATTTCCACTTGAATAGGCTGCCCTCAATTAATCTGTGAGTGAGGCGCATGCTGCAATTACATTGCCGAACACAAATACCTCCGGGTCAGTGGTTAGCTGGTTGACCCTGCGCACTTGGGTATCAAACGGAGTTAAAGTTCCTTCCAATTAAACACCAGTGACCTTTTCACTCGGTTTCAATCGGCTGCTGCGTCGGGCCGATTGAGAGGTGCTCTGGTGTCACTCTGCTTGTGGCCCCGTTGGTGTAATGAGTTCATTCAGCCTCGGCGCACAAAGAGTTAATGGCTGCCGGGATTATGCAATGACAAGCCAGACGTCTTTCTCCTCTCTTGCCGCCCCTTTATTCTTGCCCCCGCGTTCTAATAGTAGGGCGCCAAATTCAGCATTCCTGCACGTTTCGATCTGGAGCATTTGAATGCCGCGGCATGCTTGGCATCGGTCTGGGGACAAAACAGCAATTGTGTTGCACTGTGAGGAGACTCACACCTGCCCTGCAGGGAGGTGTTGTCGTAAAGATTTACAGCGCTACGTGATATCAACAGGGGGTCAAACTAGTAAAAACTTCAGGACTAATGGTGTCTAAAAGGAACCTGATCCGATGTTATCTATAATAGCTGAGAAATTGTCCAGAAACAACAGATTAGGCGTTTCTATGGTCAGATACCCTTTGACAACATTAGGAGAGAAAATACAGAGCTTAGTTTTGTGTCTTTGTCTGAGGTCTCGGGTCACCATCCTACTGTATGTGCATCTGTACGACAATGTTAAATGATTACAAAGTAAATGAAAACAAGCACTCATTTTATAACCTTATTTTATGCCTTCCAAGGATGACTATACTCGGAACCACGGAATCCATGAAGAACTGAAGAAAAACCCACATAACCACAGAGTAGTAGACGTAGTGTGGAGCGTGGGGACAAAAGCTTTAGATGGCATGCCAAGCGTAGCTCCAGTTCCTTCTGTGAAGAGGTTATCTTCTTGGCTCGAGTTTGGATGACGACTCACAGCCCAGGAGGCCAATGATGGGGGAAAAGTGTGTGACGATGATGAGTCTGTGTCTAAGCGTGTCTGTGTGTGAGTGGTGGCCAACAGCAACTCCTGGATGTGTGTGTGTGTGTGTGTGTGTGTGTGTGTGTGTGTTCATTCTGTTTTTGTTTTCTATTCTACCGGCATTCATGAATATCTGGCATTTAAATGTCCCCATAATGAAATATATGACTACATTTTGAGCTGCGAATGAGTACTGGTCTACCACTGCCAACAACAATCAGCAATCAGAATGAAAAAAATTGTTAAATGGCGATTTGCGCAATATATGTTACCCTGGAATATCTCATATTGTAGACACTCCTTAACACAGACGCCATTTTTTGACAAATAGCTTCTGAAATGTCCCCACACATACCACACGTGATATATTCGCAAACGTAGCTATGATGCGGATGACTTTTCACAGCGAACATTCTTTGGCACATCTTACAATGTTATTTGGACCGACGTCAGTCTTGTCAAACCCCAAATCAATTCCTGGCCTCCTCCAGATTTGAAAAATAAAATGTTGTGTTCCCTTGGCTGCTTTCACAGTCACGTGACTGAATCCTGCTTGATGATTCGCAGAATGAAGACTTATCACTTCTTCTTCCTTTGCCATCTATGTACACTGATTACAGCTAATCAATGAGTGGACAATATATATGCTCACCCCTAAGTGAGAGCATTACACACATTCAGGAATTCATTACCAGGGATGTATGTTTGTGTCTTTTACGAATTCACACATTCAATCCCAGGTATGTTTTTTTTTTTGTGGGAGTGCAAAAGAGTGGCCTGAAAATGGCCGGAATTGAATGGGTTGGGCATACTGTAAAAATCCATTTTTTAAAATGTTCTAATTAAAAAATTCTGATGTGACAGGGACACAAATGATGATGTAGTGGGTGAACTACATAAAACGAAAAAAAAAAAAATCCATTCTCAGCTTGTAAGGACATTTGTGCCATTACAGTATTTATTTTGTTTAAAAAAATCTGTTCAGAATGAGACCGTTTGTTTGTTGGCAGTGAGAAGAAGTGTTTTAGCACTTTGCTTAATTATGAACTTCATCTGGTGTGCAATTCAGATGAATCGTGGCTGCAAAGAATTGAAAAGGGTGTAAGAACAGCTCGAACAAAAGAAATGCCAAAAGAAAAGTGGAGAACATTAAACAACTACAAAGACGTCTGAGGTGCAGGGTGCAAGTCAGACAGGAGACAGGACTGCAAGAAGGCACTGAGTCAATAAACAACAGAGATCCTTCCAGACAAGAGAGGCAACAACAGAGCCAAAGAGACCCGCAACCGCATAGGAAGGAGATCTCTGCAAGACCCGACTCTAATCACAACCACAGAATCCAGAGCCAGCACAAAAATCCAGAGCCAGCGCACACACTTTGTCACAAACCCACACGGGTCATTAGGTGCAGTAATCATCATTTAAAGCGAGCCGCATGGCCGTTGCAGTCATTTTGTTGGCTTTCGTTGCCCACGGAGAGCAAATGCCATCATGAACTGAGGCTTTTTTCGCTAGAGATTTGATCTTACTCATAAAATGCGCCAGAAATTGTACAGCTTTGCATAGTTTCACAACCGCACATACACAAATCCATTCTTCTCAATAGTCCGCCAGCTTTGAAAAAGGAAGGAAATTGCTCTAAAAAGCACTATTTATTTTAGGCTTATAAGAAAAAAAAAAAACATCAGGCCAGAAAGAAGCAAAGTCGACTCTTTAAAGCCAAAGTTTACCTTGCTGTGAGGGGGTCTTGTGTGGTCCCGAACTACCTTTTTGGGCATCAAATTAAGGCAAGATGCGAGCATGAGCGTAACATTGCCGCCGTTTCAAACTTGGACCCAAATGGAGGCATGTTTTATTAAAGGTTGAGGACACACACTGTGCCTTTCAGGCTCCATTACTCCTTTGAAAGAAACTCACTTAACCAAGCTCAACATCCTTCAAGACGGAAGAACCTGGATTGATTTCAAGGTCACGGAGGACGGCGAACAAGAGAAGACAGGCACGCATCTGTTTCGAAATGACAAGAAAGCCAAATCTGAGAAAGCGGGCCATCATGATTGCCGTCGGTGCAAGAGGATCCTCGCCTCGGAGCGAATCCGTCATAATGGGTTGAGTGCACGCTGCACATATCTACCGTGTGAAAAGAAGTCGACTCTCCAGTTCAAAAAAGGTTTCCTCTAAACCTGAATCAACACTTCTGGTAAATGACCAGAACCACAAGCCGCCAGACACCTTTGGTATTTCTCCCCCAGCCTCAAATTCCGTGCAAACGGGAAAACATTGCGATATCCACAACCAGATCTTATTATTCACGTCTATTCAGCGGGTTCTTTGTTCCGCTCTTTGTTTTGTTGTCACGCTCAGGTCTTCAAGTGGAACTTGCCCGCCTCACTAGAACGCTGATCCCTGCCTCGGATAAAGCACAACTATTTACCGGTAAGTCAGTTTTGGAGTGCAGGGCGACTGCGAAACAAGCGGACGCAGGACATCTTTGTGTAGTGCAGCTTTTGCTTGAATTACACAATGGAATTATAATCACTGCAGTTATTTTTCAAACATCGGATCAATTTTCAATCTTCCACCAAGTACAATTCACTTCAACATAATAACGTGTAATAAGATTTCACACGACATAAAAAAAAGTCTTCTCAAAAGTAAAAAAAAAATTTGATTTGCAATAGTATTTTTCCTGACCCATATCCAAGCCCTTAGAACATGAACTACGTCTTGTTTTATATTTTAAGAGACAGCAAGCCTTTTATCATTAATCTAGGTGTCAAAATCAATTGACCATCAAATTACGCAACTATTTTTACAATAGATAATCTTGAGTGTTTAATAAAAAAAAAAAATATATATATATATATATATATATTTGTAATTCTGTGATTGTAGTTTTCTTTTCAGTGTGGTGCTAATGTTCCTTCGTATGAACCTTTGCATAACAGACATAAACGAGAGATTGGAAGGTCACGTGCCCTCGCCGGGTCGAAACTCATCCCTGGTGTCTCAGTAACAACTGGTGCAGTCCTATATGTAAAAGTGAGAGCATGTCGAGAGTTCTAAAATGTTTAGGAGGAGTTTTGTATTTCAAGCAGCAGCGATGGGGTGAGGGGAGAGTGAATCACTTGAGGGGGGCTTGCATCGGTAAGGAGAGGGAGATTTCTCCTTGAACCGCCCGAGGGTTACTCTGAGTACAAAAGTGTGGGGGAGCTGGTTGTTTTAGAGCAGACGAAAGACAGCCTTGGTGCAGGTTGAAAACTGGAATTAACCTATTTAGGAGATAAAACATGGGAGTGTACGATGAACAAGGGTAAGGGGCTCAACTTTGTACACATTTGTCATTGGCTGTCATCATGTCAATAGAAGAAAAAAAACGGACTCAGTAATTCTTACCTTGAATTATTTGTATTTCTACAAGCAGCTCCTTGTTGCGCTCCAATGAACCGTATTACATTATCTTTGTATCTGAAATTCGAAGAAATGGGGGGGAAAAACGTTGTTCAAACATTGTTGCTTGCTTACCACTGAAAATAGTAATTCGACATTTAAACTTCCAGAATGCTCATAATTTTGAGCTTCCCTCAGAACTCGCTGGCACATCACGTACGTATGCACAATTTAATGAGATCCAATGAAAGAGTTATAACATGATTTGTTCCTCCATGGAGATAATGATACAGTGTAAAAAAAAAAAAAGTAGAGTTAACAAGGCTGAGATCATATTTAAAGTTTCGCTCATGTGAAAATCTGAATTTACAAAAGTAATTGTCCCTTTTCTTGTCCCCTAACTTAAATATGGAATAAAAAATAACTGTCGTGGTCTCCACTTCCAGTCGCACTCCAGCATACGAATTGAATGAGTTTCGAAAATAAACCCTGCCCCTTAATAAAGTGCGTTTAGAGTACTGTAGTTCCCTTTAGCCTTGGGTTGGTTTCGTGCACATCCACCATAGCTGAGCATTACTCTCTTTGGAAAAGACGATTTTGGCATCAGTCCTCAATGTATCGCCCAACAAGTCCACATGGGCGTGGCTTTTTCTCACATTTTTGTATCATTCCTATCGTTATTTCCTCTTTGCAGGGCATCCATTGAGTTGCCAAAAAATCAGGATATGGTCATAGAGGACGGCAAAGGCGGCGGCGGCGGCGCCCCCCACCGCCGCACGTCGACGTCGGACTCTGGTTGCACACGGCAAAGCAAAACTCTTCCCAAAGATGTCGTCACCGACAAGATGTATATGGGTCAGTGTCAGCTCGGGTCGTGTGGGTCAGTGTCTGCTAGGGTCGTGGGACACGTTATGCGGGGTAAGATTAAATCCATATCGAAGAGCCACAGGCGTATGGGAGAAAGTTCAGCTGGTGTTCGTGTCGCCATGATGGTGCCAGCTTGTTAGTGTCCATCGAGGGAGACATTCCGCTTCATCCTGACGAGGCATTCTGTCAGACTACCTCCTCAAGGACCTTCATAAAAACAAAAGCGGTAGATTGTTTCAGGCATCACGGGGGTTTTACCGCTGCTTACTTTGCTCTTCGCATTTTTTTTTTTTAACAATGCTTTCTGCTGCGGTCAAAATGGCGTCCGATGTGGCAAAAGTGCTCACAAGCTAAATTAAAACTCCAGTGAAAGTAGTGTCGTTGAATACCAAGAGCAAGATTGCGTTGCGTCCACGCTAACGTTTTTGCTGTCAAAACCTCCCAGCTACTGACAAAAAAAAGCTAAATCAACTCATCAAAAAAATACGGTTTACATCAATAGATGTATTTGAAAGTAAAACTAGACTATAGTGACCGAATCTGTGCATCATTTGCTCTTTCCATTTGTAACGGGCAACTTAGTGACAGATGGATTTGTCAATATCATGACAAATGTCTCATGACAAATGTCATGGAGCTTTTGCTGTTTTGCTTTCAAAGTGGGCGGATGGACCAAGGACGACCCCTCCTGCCCGGTGGAGCAGTTCTATCCTGAGTTTAATGAGTGGAGGACAGCGGCTCGCATGGTCAAGCAGCGGGGTGACGTGGCCGTCGGCACCCTGGACGACAAGATGTACACAGTGGGTGGGCAAGACAACATCCGATGCTACAATAATGTGGAGAGGTGAGCTGCTTTGTGGTGGGGGCTCCCCTGTTTAGATCTTAAATGACAAGGAATGGAGAATTGACGAAACATCAGCTTTCTTTCAAATTAACGATTAATGAATCGGTAGGTTCTAATGTATTATGAACATGACGGGAGAACCTCGATGAATGTCCTGAACTCCCGTTTCCATGTCACTGTTGCACTGAGCAGAATCATGCGGCATTTGGCTGTAGCTCAATTTTCCACATCTGATCAGCGTTTTTTTGTTGAGACCATAAACTTGATTAGACTGAATCAACAGGGTCACCGTTGTTTGCAATTGCCAATTCCACACAATTGCCAGAATTAATTCAACGTTTATTGCGCTCTTCCCAAATGCTGCGTTTTAAAGCTTTGGTTTGTGCTGCGACCAGTTCCTATGTTGCACAAGCAAGCAGGAAATATTGACGAAAGTTGGCGAGAACATTACAACCTTCGATTGCACTGAAGGCCATTTTGGAGTCACTTTTCTGACAAATCAATCAATCTCGAGACGGCTGCAGACGGCTATGTGCTGGCTCGTGTTTTGCGCCAACTGTAAATAACTCTCAATTCCAGACATTTGTCGCCGGACAAGTCACCGAACAGCAGAGGTCAGCATGAAGGCCGCATTTATTTGTGGCCTTGCCGACAACATGCGTCATGTGCGACATTTTCACCAGGGCACGTACGCACGTACGCTATATGCTTGGCTCCAGCGCGCTCAGATAGCTTGAAGCGGTTGGTGCCCCTCCAGTTCCCACAGAAGAGGCACTTCTTAATAAAATGAGCCAAAGAGTTGGGGAAACATCCACTCCAGCCTACCTGAGTGTAGGCGTTCCCCGAAGGCCACTACGAGTGCTGCGGTGGGGATTTTCAAGGCTTGTCTGTGCGCCTTTCAACCAAACACCAATTTAATAGAAGTGTCATGAGGAAGATGCTCAAGTGTGCGTCATTTTCTGGAGGCTATGCCAGCTAACTGGGGGGCAAAAAGGAGATGGCTTGCCAGTGAGTCTTCCGGGGTGAATGTAAATAAGGCGTTGAATGGGAGCCCATATCACATAACGGCGACACAAAATGGGCTTTTTTTTTCTCCTTACTTTGTTTGGCATTGGCAAAACCACTAATACTGGGTCATAGTTCTAGTACTAGGTGAGCCAAGAATGTCAAGCCGATACCATACGCAAACAAGTACGACACTCAGATGCTCAACGGTCGAGGATATTTGTCGATGTTTCGGCATTGCAACATTTGAGTTCACATATGGTCGATGTTGACATGTAAAACTTCTTTACTGCACTTACAGGGGCAGTTAATTAAAAAAATATATGAACAAAACGTTCTATGCGTCCCCACTATGTTCAACATGATTCCCTTTGCGTTTGCGCATTTTGAGCGTGGCACCTAAAAATCCACACGTTTTTAGCCATCCGAGGGAGCGGCCATTTTCCCACTTGCGGCGATGACATCACAGTTGCTCGGGGCTCCGGAAACGACCAATCACAGGTCAACTGTATTCTGGGTGTGGTCAGGTCATGTGACCTTTGCAATTTGAGTCCTTCAGCGCCGCGACATTTCTAGCACAAATACCGCACCTGTTATTGAGCGCATTATCATCAGAAGCTAGCTGCTTGTTTTGCCTGAAGCGCACACTCTGACACCCCGACCCCCACCCCGGCAGGTACAACCCAGACACAGACAGCTGGAGTGCGGATGTAGCACCCTTGAGCAGCCCCCGCAGTGGAGTGTGCGTGGTGGCCATGGACGGATACTTGTACGCTATTGGAGGACACGATGGGATTGCGGCCATAAATACCGTGGAGAGGTACTGCGGCCCGATTTTTTTTTTTTTTTAATTTCCATAGTCTCCAAACATTATTCAAGACTGTGGCGAGTGATACGTAAACACTGTCTTGAATGCTTTATGGGTGCCGTTGTTCCTCAAAAGCATCTTACGTAACAGAGTTGAAGACAACTCGG